TCATGGAACTTCACCCATGTCTGCTTTGTGACTTCTGCAAACCCTCCATTCCCAGCTATAGTACTCTGGGCTTCTGAACTGCCCTGGGTTCAGTTTATACACAAATATACAACATAGCATTTTAAGTGCTCAAGACAATGAAATGTTTCAATATTTAAATGAGCACTGCAGTGCCTGAAATAGAATCTCAAGCTCTTTTCACTTAAATTTCCATGTTTTTCTTAAATGAATGTTTATTCTTAAAAAAGAAAAAGAAAAAAGAAAAAAAAAACAAAACTTCAGGGCCTTCTAAATAGGATGGACCTGAGTAAATGCAGAAAACTAATAAAGTATACATGCACAAGTTACTTATCCATCCTCAAATAACGGGGTTAGAAATACAGTCTCCTGGATTTATGAACAAGCAATATATACCCTCTCTAAGGCTCTGCTAATATGGACTTATTGATAGAGTTAAGAGGTCAGAGAGGATTTCTTCTGTCAACAGTACCACAGTTTCATAACTAAGTTCAAACTAGGCCTAAGGATTGTGCATAAATGCAAAACCCAATATAAGGCAATGCAGTTAGTGATAGACATTTAAGAAATGTCTTTTGGGGCCTGGAGAGGTGGCTCAGCAGTTAAGAGTACTAACTGCTCTTGCAGAGGACCCAAGTTCGATTCCCAGCACCCACATGGCAGCTATAAACTGTCCTTAACTCCAGTTCCAGGGGAGTCCAAAGCCCTCTTCAGACCTCTGTTGCATTGCACAACACAAATGCACTCACATACATGCAGGCTATACACTCATACATATAAAATAAAAATAATAATAAAAAAGAAATGTCTTTCAACGACAAAATTTACACTAAAGTTGTTAATTTCACAATGATATTTGTGTACGCAGTTTTTTAAAAAATTATGTTTACACAGTATCTTATTTTTGAATTTTACAGAGCATTTCAAACAAAATTAGAAGATAGTAAACCCTTATGGACCATTTCCCATTTTTAAGCTGTTAATATTTTGTGAATTATAATTTATCTAAATGTAACTCTTTTCATTCTGGCCTCATAATATTTTAAGATAAATTTCAAACATCGTATCAGCTCATCTGAAACATTAGGCATTTGTTTCTTCTAACTTATGAGTTATTTTTAACATTACCACCTATAAAATTAATAATTTTCAAACTTCCAGTTATCTCCTATGCCTTGATTGTCTCAGAAATATCACTTTGGAAGGAGAAGCTAGGTAGATGACTCAATCATGAAAGTGCTTGCTGCATTAGCACGAAGACCTGAGTTTGGATTCCCAGCACCTACATAAAAGCCAGGTTCAGCAGCACACATCTGTGATCTTCATACTAGAGGAGTAAATAGGCAGAAACTTGCTGACCAGTCAGCCTACTTTAATTAGTTAGCTGCAGGTTCAGTGAGAGACTGTCAAAAAATAAGGTGGAAAGCAACTAAGGAAGGCATGCAGTGCACATGCACACACATGCATCAATGCCCACATGCACATGAACACATGCACACACATACACCACACATATACAACAACACAATATTATTTTATAAGGGGCTGGGAAAATGGCTCAGCGATAAAGCTCTTGCTGTTTAAGAACAAGGACCTGGGCTAACAAGGATGGCTCAGAGGTTATTAGTGTGCACTGCTCTTGCAGACCACCCAAATTTACTTCCCAGCACCCACCTGTGACTCTAGCTCCAGAAAGAGCTGACACCTCTGGCCTCTGTGGGCACCTGTACTTATGTGCATAACGCCCCCACATACACACAGACATACATGTATACATACTTAAAAATAAAATATTTTTTAATTATCTGTATGTGTATTATCTGCATGTATGTAAGTGCACCTATGTCATGCAGTGCCTTTGGAGGCCAGAAGAGGGCATTGGATCCCCTAGAACTGGAGTTATGAATGGTTAGCCACCATGTGGGTACTGGGACTTGAACTCAGGTCCTCTGCAAAAGCAGCCAGTGCTCTTAACCACTGAGCCATGTCTCCAGCCCCAAAATAAAATCTTAAAAAAGAATAAGCATCCAAGTTCATATCCCCAGCACCCAGGCAAAAGTCAAGGATAGCAGTAGCTACCTATAAACCCAGCATGGAAAGGCAGTAACAGATGGTACCTAGAGGTTCCCTGACTAGCTTATCTTGTATGATAGATAGCTTTAGTTGTCGACTTGACACACCTGGGTAGAGGGAGCCTCAATTGAGGGATTTCCTCCATCGGATTGGCCTGTGGCCATGTCTGTGAGGCATTTTCTTGATTGTTGAGTGATGTGGGAGGACCCAGTCCACAGTGGGTGGTGCCACTCCAGGCAGGTCATTCTGTATTGTATTGTGTAAGAAAGCAGGCTGAGCATGGGTCAGGAGAGCAACCCAGGAAGCAGCGTTCCTCCATGGTCTGTGTTTCAGCTCCTGCCTCCAGGATCCTGCACTGAGTTCCTACATTGGGCTTCCCCAGTGATAAACTATGGCTCAGGAGATTTAAGCTAAATAAACCCTTTTCTCCCCAAGTTGATATTGGTCAGAGTGTCTTGTCCCAAAATTGAAAGCAAACTAGAGCACCTTCCAAAAATGGTGAACTCCAAGTTCAGTGAGAGATCTTGTCCCAAATAATAGTAATAATGATAATGATCATGATGATGATCATGATGACATAGAGTACAATAGAGCAAGACACCTAATGTTGACCTCTGGTCTCCACATGTTCACACACCACAGGTGAGCATGTGCACACACATACACATACACAGAGGCACATGTACAATCACTCAGATGCCATAAATCTTTTTTAATTAATAATTTTTTTATATTTTTATTTTATGTGTATGCGTGTATTGCCTGCATGTAGGTAAGTGCACCCATGTCTTGCAATGCCCATGGAATACAGAGGAGGCTGTCGGTAACCTGGAACTGGAGTTACGGACAGTTGTTAGCTGCCATGTGGTGCTGGGATTTGAACTCCAGTCTTCTGCAAGGTCAGTGTTCTTAACCACTGAGCCATCTCTCCAGCCCCAAAAAGATAGAACTGGGAAAATGAACAGCAGACTCCAGTCTTATCTAAAGGAATATTTAAACTGATTTCTGCTAGATGAGGAACAGCTGACCTTCCTAAAACAAAGACCTCAAGATAGGCTGACTAGATTCATCGGAGGATGGACAAGTAGTGGGGAATGGCTGGGGGTGCCTACAACACAGCAGACAGTAGCAGGCAAAGTAAAAAGACGGGGGTGGGGACTAAGGGAGGGTGCCATCTGGGAAGTGGGTATGTAGATGAATAAGATTGGGATGTTCTGTGCGATATACCCACAAAAAATCAACAAATTAAAAAAAGTTATATTTGAGGAGGAAGCATAAAAATTTATGTCATATTAATTAGTAGAGGTGATAAATATTACCATTGAAATCTACCTGATGACTTTATATCCACACACAGGTGCCAAGGATACGAATGCAACCAACCATGACTAGTAATAATCATATACATACAGATTAGAGATGCATGAGCCAGTGATGACTTTACGTCCATACACAGGTGCCAAGGATCTGAGTACAACTGACCATGACTAATAATAATCAGATACATACAGATTAGACACACCTGTGCCAACATCTAAGTGTTATTAGTAAAAACAATGAGTCTTTCTGTAAGAAACAGAATATTTTTAAATGAAATGGAGATCTTTTTTAAAGGTTAAAAAATCATTCAATTTTATGTCTTACAGGATTTATACTGAGTTCAATATTGTATAACTGTATTAAGTCAACTGTGAACCTAAAACTTTTGTCGCCACTTCTGAAAGAGATGTATCTTTGCTCTGGAAATTGTTATTGAGTATGTTAAAGTTGTAATGAAATTCTTCTTCTAAAAAATAAAAAATAAAAAAAACATTTTTTTAATTAAAAAAAAAATATGGGCTGGAGAGATGGCTCAGCAGTCAAGAGCACTGGCAACTCTTGCAGAAGTCCCAGGTTGTGTTCCTAACACCCATAGTGGCTAACAACCACCCCTGACTCCATTTTCAGGGGATCCAGTGCCCTCTTCTGGCCTCCATGGGTATTGCATGCATGTGTGCACTTACATGCAGGCAAAACACTCATATATAAAAAAGTAAAAATATAAGATTATTTTACAGATTGTTTATATACAAGGTTCATACATTATATTTGACTACACCTCTTATGTCTCATTTATTCTATATAAATATTTATGTATTCTTTTTAGATTCACTGATAATTGATCAAGGGAGTTTAAAGGGAAAATTTGTTACCAAAATTAATGCCTCATTTTTAAATCATTAATTTTTACTTTTCTACATTTTCAAATCTCTGCATATTTAATGCTAAAATATGAAAGGGTAAGAAAAATGAGGGAGAAGGATTTTCTTTTTGTGATACAACCATCATGAATAGATCTTTATTACTCAAGGGCAGAAGCAAAATGGTGCCTACCCTTTTGAGCTGAAGGATGTCTATGTAATGTCAGTGTATATACTTTGACAATGCCTATACTTTGACCTAACCAAAATGTCATTCTATACAATTTGTAAATAATAAGCACTTTGATTCTGAAATTTGATCTCTTTATTTTCTTTCACATTTTGGGTTTGTGTTTCTGTATAATAAATTCAAACTAATATTTTCTTGCCAAACATGAGTATTTGTATTTCTCTGCTATTGCCAGTTAGCGTGCTTAAATGGCAGGTCTATTTGGTAATATCTCCATTGAGTTCAATCTGGGATTTCAAAAACATTGTCCTTTGTAAAATTGTTGGATCATATAGTCACCTCTCTTTTTAATACTTATTTTGTTATCCCACCAGATTTTCTTTCAACCTAGGTAGGAAGACAGAAAAGAGTTTCTACTGCCACTATAATTTTAACATTACTATTCTCGATTTAAATTGTGCAGTGCTGCTTAAATGCCTCAAGATTTCTACCATTTCTTTTTATAAACTCCCAATCTTGTGATATCGTTCCTTACTTAGGACACAAACGAGTCTGCCAAACAAGAAGATATTTTGGAATCTACAACAGATGCTGCAGAATGGAGTGTCGAAGTCGAACGTGTACTACCACAACTGAAAGTCACGATTAGGACTGACAATAAGGTATGGAAGAGAGAAGCAGTTGTTCAAAGAAACAATTTTATAAGGCGATTTCAGGTTGAGAATACTGTCAGTTATACAAATTGGAGAAGGGTGGCAGTATTCATTTTCTAGCATGACATTTTGTTTGTTTTGCTTTATTTTAGTTTTGTTTTTTGAGATAGGGTGTCACTACATAGCCCAGTCTGATCTGTGATTTTCCTCCCTCAGCAATTCCAGTGTTGAAATTATATGTGTCTCCTTGTCTGGTTTTGTTTTATCTTAATAATGGTTTATCAAATTACTGAATGAGTTAATAATATAATACAGTTCAAGGAGCAAAGAATAGATCTTTGAAAGGATTTGGAACATACCCTGTTTCCTTTGGTTTGATGGATATTTTCTTGGTGCCTTTAATGTAATTTCTTGGAAGTCATATTTTGTTGAGATGAATAGGAACTCTGTGATGATACCACTTGATATTTTAGGACTTTGCTAGTTAGGACAACATAAGGCAACCTACAAGTTGTCTTAGATCATCTGTTCTGAAGTGCATATTAAAAGCTAAAACCAGGTACAGTGACCCCTGGATATATCCTCAGTACTCAGGAGGTTGAAGCCTAGGCATCAGGAATTCCAGGTCAGCCTGGGCTACATAGCAAGATCCTGTCTTTTAAAAGTGTTAAATATTAAAAAGAAAAGAAATATATAAGATAGGGATTATATTAAATGATCTGGCTTCTGATTCAAGTTACTGCTCTTTTTTTAAACCTACAATGTCATAAGTTATTACTTCAGGGCAAGCAAAAGCATGTGATTAAGTGATAATTCAGTTCTCATTACCAGGATTAATAATCTCCACAAAAAGAGCTAAAGGGCAAAAGGGGCATCTAAGTAAAAACCTGAAGGGAGATTTCCATCCTTAGAGGCTAGACATAAACTTGGAATTTATGGGACTAAGTTCTAGGGAAGCTCATCATTGACACAAAGTCCTGTATCTGCCCCTAAAGTAGGAGCTCTGCAGAGCTATTTTCAGAGCATTTTGGAAGAAAATTGGTCTTTAGGATGTATCCATCCCACAGTCCTTAAGAAATAGCCCAAACTCCTGGAACTTATGAGAATAGGATGAGGCTAGAAGAGTTATTAGATTGCAACATCTGTGGAACAAGTGCTATTCAAGATAAGAGGAAGAATCTGCAGCCTGTTCACCCTGTGTTCACCCAGTCACTGTAGAGAACAGTTGTGATCTGACCATATTGGAGGTGAATGCTTTATTTGCATATCTCTCATATGTAAACATCTATTAATAAGAATTTCTTCACTGGTTAGATCTCTGTTAGAAGTCTTAATTTGCAGAAAGAAAGTAATGTGTTTCTTTTTTGCAAAAATGCCATTTCCAGTTCTTTGGTTTTTGTCAGAACAAATTCTCCTTATAAAATTAAAAATCACTATTGTTATGTTTCTAGTTAGAATAACATGTTAAAATAATTGTGCAGTTGGGAACAGTTTAATCCCAGAAGGAAGCAAATTTAATTTGTTTATTTTCAAATTAAGTAAACTCTTGAAGTCAGACATCTCATTTAGAAGCTAATAGGTTTTTCCCCCCAATCTAAAATTATTGATTTCCACATACTAGAAATAACAAAAAAAAGAGTGTACGCATAGTGTGTACTCACTAACACATACTGTTTTGCAAGCCTAAGTGTGGGCCAAATTCTAGAGAAGACCAATTCAGAATCCTAGGTTTATGAAGAATCAGTATTCTCTTGATTTGGGGAAGAATTAACTAGCAGAAAGTTGAATTCTTATTCTGAATTCAGGCTATTAGCCTTAATCTTTTTTAAAAAAAATTTTTCATTATTTGTATTTTATATACATGAATGTATTGCCTGCATATGTGTAAGTGCACCCGTGTCATTCAGTATCTGTGGAGGACAGAAGAGGGTGTCAGGTCCCCTGGAACTGTAGTTATGGATGGTTGTTAACTGCCATATGGGTGCTAGGATTTGAACCTGGGTCTTCTGCAAGAACAGCCAGAAGTCAGTGCTTTTAACAGCTAAGCCATCTCTCCAGCCTCAAATCTTATGATGGTATACCATACTAAATTAGTTATGCAATCAAGTATATGAGCAGCATTCCAAATATCAGATGTTTTTGTTTCCCAGTATTTTTTTAGAATATGTGAATATTATTTTGAATTTAGATTTTTAAGGTTTAATTATGCTGACCTAAATCTCACTCACGTGATTTATCAGAATTCTTTCCTAGGTCACTTGGCTTTTATGTTAGTGTTTCTCAGCATCTTTTTTCTTGAGCCTTTCACGTATACCAAATGGGAAACACAGCTTTAGGGTCAATTTTTTATTCAGCTTAAGAAAAATAAAATTATACCTTGATTAGAAAATAAGAGGCTAATAGAAAATTATTTCTCATTTCTCAAAAATATAAAAGACAATCTAGTTACATGTGAGATTTGTTTGCTGACTCATTTTCAGAAGTTGACTGAAGAGCCCACTTTTCCCAGCTCTTGACTATCAAAACCATAGCCTATCCTTTGGCTAGCACAGTGATCTTTCACTCAACACAAGATATTTAGGACATTTAGAGGTGTTTTTTTTTTTTTAACTTCATATTTGAATGGGAAAAAAGTTATTTCAAGGTCAGTGTGTTTAGCTGTTCACCATATGTCAATATTTGAGTAGCTTAGAGATTTTGGGAGATAAGTAATAAAGGGTCTCATTATTTAAATCCACTATACATTTATTTTAAATGGCCTTGCAGTATAGTAAATAAGTTTCATATTTATCTGCCACTGGATGGGGTGTTTTCACTTTTTCTATCATAACCTCAGTTTATTACTTCCATGCTTTAGCAAGGAGTTAAAAACAAGGAAATCTTTTTATGCATATATGCTTCCATTAGATCTAATCATGTACCAATATTTTATTTTGCATCCTTTTCATAATGTTGCAGTCAGATTCTCATTGTAAAACTAGCTTCTATCTGTTGTATGGCACCATTGTTACGATTGCCAGGTTCCAATGAATAGAAACCAATTTTAATATTAGTCTAAACAAAATAGAATTAGGAAAAAGAATATGGTGCCAAAAAATACAAATTGTAGGAATGTTTTCTCTGGGACTGCCTCCTCTAACTCTTCTTCACAAATTGAACTATTGCAAAACCTTATAACCAAGTTAATCATATGATTCAGTCTGTGTTCCTACTATGTACTCATCTTGTTTCACTTTAACTTGCCTTTAAGAAAACAATGTAATCAGTCTTACTATGTCTTGTACTCCCTGTACTCCCTGTGCAATCAACTTTTATAGACTAAGCTGAATGCATAGCTTTGATTTTAAACCATTTTTCCTATTTTTCCCTCATGACCCTTTCATGTCCCTGGCCTGCAAGAATGTGTGTGTGTGTGTGTGTGTGTGAGATGTGGAAATTAGATTTAATATCATGGTTGAAAGAAATGGGATTGAAAGCAACAAATTTCTCAAAGGTTGAAAGCAACATGTGGACACAGGTTTATAACACCTGTTTGTGGTTTTGTTTACTGTTCTGGATTAATAGAAATCAGAGGAGTAACTTCTTCCCTTGTAAAACTCTAGTAAAAGGCTCTTTAAGACAAAGATCCTCACTTCCTTCCCATTACATTCTTGATGTGCTGTTGAGTAAATATAGAGGACATCCTTTGTTCAGAGGGAGAAATCAGAACACTTCAAAACAGATTGGCCTCACTCTTTTATGCAGCACCACCACAACAAATAATGTGCTGCTCAACTGGAGATGAAGAGTTTTTGTTATATGCTGACCTGAACAGACTCTATTAACAGTACTCTTTTTGATACTGGTTATAGAGAATGCTGCTGGGTGATGATTACTTCTAGGTATACACCTAGAAGACCATATACATACAGATACCAATTCAGATCTGTCCAGAGTTAGGACACTGTGTTTAAAGATAAAACCAGAAATTTTTCCAGTAAGTTCAATAAATTTAGCCAAATCCTAGGTGATGCCATTCACTTGTGTCCAAAGGGTAAGGCTCAGAACGCAATTCCTCAGGCTGAGCATACCTAGAGAGAACACTGATCTTACCCAAGATCATCACTGTGACTCTGCACTTTTTATTTTTTGTCTCACCTTCCCTTACTTTTCTTTTACTTCCCTTATTCTTTTCTGCTGAGTTTGTGTCCTGTTTCTTTTTTATCATGTTTTCTGTAAGTCCCCACAATAGTGCCATAACATTGCATGACTGCTGTGATGGACTTGAAACTAATATAGAATGAGTAATATCTGAGATTATACTCAGACTAGACTTAGACCTAGTTCAGAGTATCCTAATTTACAAGACTTGTGTTGTAGAAAGGGAAGGAATGCTACTAATCTCATTTTAAGAGGCCATTTATTACCCTGATACCAAAACTAGATAAGATTATAGCAAAAAAAGAAAATTGTAGCCAAATCTCCCTGATGAACATAGACATAACAATTCTCAAAAAAAAAAAAAAAAAGTATAGGCTATGTTCAACAATACATTGAAAAGAAAATCACTCACTATAATTAAGTTGCCTTCATTTCAAGGATGCAAGGATGGTTTAACATATGCAAATCAATACGTGTAATATACCTCATAAATAGACTCAAGAGTAGAAGTCACATGATCATGTCAATAGATATAGAAAATGCCTTTGGCAAAGTCCAACTTTGCTTCATGATAAAGAACATGAAGAAATTAGGACTATAAGGAACTTACTTCAACATAATAAAGGTTATGTGCAACAAACCTATAGCTAATATATAAATGGGAGGAAACTCAGAGCATTTCTACTAAAAGCAGTAAGAAGACAAGGATGTCCACAGTCTCCACTCTTATTCAATATAGTGCTGGAAGTCTCAGTAAAAAGCAGCAAGACAAGTGAAAGGAATAAACAGGCTACAAATAGGAAGAGAAATCTAATTATCTCTATTTTTAGACAATATGATCCTGTGTATAATAGATTAAAGACTCTTCG